TCTGAAGATGTTCAGTGCTTACAGAACTCACCACCATCCAAGTCCACAGTCATCTTAAGACATAACATTTCAGCTTGCTCAACAAGAGTTGGCTTTGAAGTGAATTTGAAGTGATTTGTGGGTGTTGGACCACTTGAGATGAACTAATTCCATTCCACTGCTGCAACGTAATGACAGCAAAACACAACATATTTTGGGTTGTTTCTCTTTTAACTTATGAACATTCAATTCATTTGAAATAACCAGATGTGTGCCAAACATTATGTTATTTTCCATTATTTCACATTGACTTTTCCCAATATACATTTGATTTTTGCAGCTGGCTCTGTGTTGGCAGTCAAGTAAAACTAATTCATCTCAAGAGCTACAATGCACAAGGTTCAGCTGCCAATGCTGACTGACCAAATACCAATATTCAAGGTTGTCCAACAAAGTATTGGCTGTGGATTCCAATGTATTGCTCCACTCCAGACAAATCAAGTCCACTCCATTTGTGATGCATGAGTCCAACAAATTTCAACATACATTGAATAAGAATTTGTGCATTTGCAGTAGTTTATTGTCAGCTGGCCTCCTTAATACTGAAACTGAAAGTTACACATCAAGTCAGAATTTTTGATTAGAGAAAAAGTTGCCTAATTACATCAAGTATTGTTTTCTTTGAGCATATTGTCCCATTTCACCATACCCCTGTGTTATGGACTTCATCATTTGTACAGTGACAGCTGATATTTAATTGACTTTAGCTGTGATTAGCAAATCCCAATTGGAGCAGCTCCAACGGCTATTACTGAAGAACTGTGGGTGGGGATATGTTTTGAAGTGATGGTAAACATTGTGACACATGAAGGGCACATCACATATTTTCAGAGGCACATTTGACTTTTTTTCTTGCCTTGGATTTCACAGGGATTGCTAAGGCAGGCATTTCTGCCTGTCAGTTGTAAAAGCAGGGGGTGAGGGGGAGATGATAACTTTTGAAAGCCATATTAACCACATGGAGAAGCCTATTTAAAATCCTTTGCTCCCAAGTTGGCCTGGAGATCTCATGGAGGATTAGGGAGTGAGGATGGAATAAGCCAGGTGTGGGGGAACTTTTTGGCCTTGTAGCCCAGATTTTTGTCTCTTCTACAGGACAACTTTGACAGGTGGGTGGTACTGCTCACATGCCAATCATCTGACACCTTAATCATGTCAGGTGATTGATAGGGGGTTTCCACCACTCACCTGTCAAAGTTGGCCTGTGGAGATGGGGGAAGAAACTGTCCAATCATACCCAAGCAGAACTGAACTCCCTGTACATCAGTTGATAGGCAAGGAGTTCAATCCTGCTTTCTGAAGCCACATCTCTATCTGTCCCATACCTTGACACCACATATAGAGTGAGCATGGCTTGGGGAAAACATCTGGTAGGTCAGATGGTGGGCCTCATTTGGCTTGTGGGCTGGAATATTACCATATCTCAGTTGAGGTTTCTCTGTTCCCAGTTTGGCCAATTTTAAGTACAGTTGGCTCCATTTCTGCAATAACAACTTTTAAAGAAAACTATCAGGATGCAAATTCATATTCATTCTGCACTGAATTTTGCAAGCAATTTGCCTTTGTATTTTGTATCACAAATGCATGTGTTTATGTGCTCAGTTTTCCCTAATTTTTTTGGTAAGCTTATATTTGTTGGAGAACTGCATCACAAAAATTAGAAGTATGAATTTTGAAGGGTAGCTGTGTTTCAGTTCACACTTTGGTTTGGGGAGTGTGAATTAGCTCTGTTTGCATCAAAATATGAACCAAACATATTTCTCTAATTTTCCCAGTTGTGACTTGTGCTCAGGCACAAATCTGGGCTCTAATAAAGTTCTCAACCCCTGGTTTGTTTTGTTTTAGAGCAGGGTAAATAATATAATTTCATGGAATGTGAAGCCTCAAACCCTCTTCTGGTCCAGAAGTACTGGGAAACTGAGGCCTCTTAGCAGCTCTCCTATATTCTGAAGTATCCTTTTAAGAACTCCAAATACTTTGGGATCGGTGAATGCCCACAACATCCCTATAGGTCACGATGCTTCTCCCAGTAAGCAAGGGTTTAAACATCAGGTTGGAGATCTGTAAGAAGAAGCTGGACAACTGCTGATGAAAATTATGAGAAGGCAAAATAGCCTCTTAATGGCAAGTTGAAAATGAGAGCTTAAGGCCCAGGGAATCTTCAAGAGCTACAACCTCTTGGTGAGTGAAATCCATCCTTTCCCAAAGAGCTGGAGAACAATTTGTACCAGCCCTTAATATCTTCCCAGGCTCTTTGTACTTGGTGGGATAAATTCTGTCCTTAGCAGGCAACCATTTGCCTGCATCCAGTAGTACAAAGTCCAGAGTGGAATCTGTAGCTGACAAAAGGGAACAAATCGGCAAGTTGCTGCAATGCAAAGCTGTGATTAGCTGCCATTAGAGAGAATAGAAAAAGGCATGAAAAGGACTCAGAGAAAGGGAAAGAAAAATTAAGCCAGAAACTGCAAAGATCAATGAACACAATCAGTGTTTTCTGCCAAGAAATTTATAAAAAAAGACAGAAACTCAAGCTGCAGATAAGTGGCTGAAAATCCCTCACTCCCCCTCCCTGCTTTTACCCACTCTTAATCTGCAACAAAGGCTAGGGACTGAATATCTGGGAGAATGGAGGACAAAATAGAAAAACAGTGCTGGCTGAAGACATTTTGCTTCCTGAGGGAAAGGTCAAGATAGCACCCTAGAAGAGACAAATGGACTAGCAGTTAAACCTTTTCTCAACAAGGGTAAAGAAACAGTGTCCTCCATTGCCCCTGAGTTCAATAGGCTACTTTAGGGGGTATACAAGAGATTATGTAGCAACTCTGGCCTCCCATAGAGGAGGATGACCTGGCGGGCTCAACAGGAAAAAAAAATGATTGTAAGGCACTCCTCTTCCTCCTCATTTGCTGCTTGAGAGGTTCCTTCACTCTGCCCAGCAGTAGGTCCAGTCCTGTAGAACGTGCAAGACAGCAAGGGCCCAGTTTAGATTCTTGCCCTGGTTCAGTATCTTCCTCTGGTCATCTTTAATGACCAAGGTCATTTTAAATAATAAATAAATAAATAGGTTGACTTGAGGAAAACCAGAAATACTCAGAAATACTGTTCAGAAATAAGAAGAGAAATGTGGCTTCAAGATGGGCTTGCAGACAAGACCCTTCAGCTGCAATATTGTCATTAAGAAATTTAGATGTCTGTCAGGGGTTCAGGGAGAGAGGCACAGGGTAGGCAGGAGATGGAGAGCGATGGGGAGGAATCCCAAGCCAGCGAGGAAGAGGATGACAATGACTCAAGAGATTCCATGAGTCTTTCCAGCGAATCAGAGGATTCCCAGAAGGGGGCGCCGGTGGTCAAGGCCAGGGGAGCCCCAGGGGGGACGTGTCAGGAGCAGGGGGCCAGCGGAGGATCCCAAAGTGGCAGCTGGGCGTCAGGACCAGCCTCCCCACCAGAGTGCAGCGAAGGGGGTGGAGTTTCCAGTGTGTCAGGGAAGCGGCTCCGGCAGCAGAGAAGGGAGGGAGGTCAGAGCAAGCCGCCCTCCCGGAAGGGGAGGGAGCAGTGAAGGGAGTAGTGTAACTGTCAACAGGAAAGTTAGAGGTTTGGCGCGCGCGCCAAGTTCAAATGTAGAGGCGCGAGGAAGTACAGGGAGCCCGGAGGAGGGGCCAGGTCCCAAAGCCCGCAGGAGGGTGGAAGAGCAGTCTGATTCCGCGTCAGAGGAATCCAGGAGGGGCGAAACCCCAGCGGGCAGAAGGACCCTGCGGAAAAGGAAGGAGAGAAAGAGGTGGAGCAGCGCAAGCCTCTTAAATTGGTGCAGGGGAGGGACGGATTCAGAGGGGACTTCAGCGGTCTAAGCGTAGCAGACGTAAGGCTGCGCGCCTAGGATGTCAAGCAAACAATGAACTGCAATAAACACTTTTGTATATAAGAAGACATAGGCGTTGGTCTTTTGTGAGCTGAGACTTGAGGCAGCCTTGACAGTAAGTCCCCTCTCAAAAGAACCGCAAATTTTTTTTTTGCAAAGCTCACGAAGTTTGGCAGAGATGACTACTGAGGAGCAGATAGCGTCCCTGCAAAACGCAGTCGCCGAGCTCTCCACTGCGGTAGTGGTCTCTCAGAAGACGGTTGCCGACGCAGAAGCGCGATGCCAGGATCTGCAAGCCAGGTGGGATCGGGCGTGCAAAGAGGGGTTCCCGGGTCCAGATCAGAGGGAATCGGACTCGGACGGAGGGGGGGCAATTTAGTAGCCCACTTCGATGGGAACCTGAAGCATTATCCCAATTTCAGAGCAGACGTCGTATACGCGCTGCATTTGCTTCAAACGACTTCAAAGATGAGGAGGAAAAAGTAGGTTTTATTGTGTCCCATTTGCATGGGGAAGCAAGAACCTGGTTACGCAATTTGTGGCGCGAAGATGGTCTTGCACGCAGGGACTCTGACGAATTTATCAAAGCCATGGACGCTTGCTTCCAATCTACCGTTGACGTTGATGTGGCACGCCAGGAGATGCATGGATTGCGGCAGGGCAAGGCTACAGTGCGTCAGTACCATTCTTGCTTTTTTGCATTGCTGAATGTGCTGGGCTGGGAAAAGGACTCCCTGGCAGTGAGGGACTTGTTCTGGGAGGGGCTTCATGGCTCAGTAAAAGATGAGCTGGCTAGGGGAGACAGACCTCAAACCCTAGCAGACGTCGTGCAGAGGGCACTCACGATAGGGGTGCGCCACGAAGAACGCCCTTGGCACAGTGAGGAGGGGCGTCACGTCCGCCCACCAGCTAGAGCACCTCCTTTTCCTCCCAGGGACCTGGAACGTACAAACCTTTCGCCGGTCCTGACAGGTGGGCGGAAGAACCAATGGAGCTGGGTGGTGCAAAGGCTCAGACAGCTGCCGGAGCCTCAGCGTCCGGAGCAGTCAAAGCGAAGCCTCCTAGAGGGACCAGGAAGTGTTACATCTGTGACAGTGCACGGCACATGGCTAAAGAGTGTCCCCAGAGGCTCCAGAAGCACACTGCAGCCTTAGCAACAGTAACAGGGGAAGCGTTCCAAGGGGAACAGTTTCAGGGAAACGAGAATGCCTGGCTGGAAGCAGAGATGCTGGGGCTCCGCCAGGCAAGTCAGTGAAGCAGTCCCCAGCGCTTTTGCAGCCTACAGACCCCTTACCACCCAAGCCAGTGGTGCAGCTCACTGCTACTCTCCAGCTGCCTAATGGACTCACCCTGGAAGTCCCCATTACGATTGACTCAGGGAGCAACGCAGACTTCGTGGGGATGCAGTTCATCAAGCAGCATCGCATAGCGCTACTACCAGCCACGCTGCCTCTGAATGTGGTCACCGTAGATGGCAGGAAGTTGCTGGGTGGGCAAGTGGTACAACAGACGCCACCCATGCTGCTGAAAATTGGGAATCATCGCGAGGTCATCAGTTTCAATGTCACCCAACTGTCAGACACGCCCATAGTGTTAGGCATGAGTTGGCTGGACAGACACAGCCCATCATTGGCGTGGTACCAGCGGCAGCTCACCTTTGGCTCGTCCTACTGCGCACAACATTGCATCCAGATCGGCCAGGAGGAGGAGGGCCAGGAGGAAGGGCAACAGTTGCATCTAGGCATGGTGCAGGCGGTGCCCCACAAGTACAAGGGGTTTTGGAGGTTTTCTGCGAGAAGGAAGCTGACCAATTACCACCCCACCGGCCCTACGACTGTGCAATTGACCTCTTACCAGGGGCGACGCTGCCGACTGCGAAGCTGTATTCCATGTCTGAAGATGAGATGCAGGAACTCAGGGAGTTCATAGATCACAATTTGAAGCGGGGATTCATCCGAGAATCCAAGGCAGTGGGGGGGCAGTCCTGTGTTTTTCGTGAAGAAGAAGGACACGCCCCAAAAACGGCTCATTGTGGACTATAGGGCCATAAACTCGATGACAAAACCCAAGGCTTTCCCCATGCCCAAGATTGACGACCTGCTCGCGACGGTGAGGAAGGGGAGGATCTTCACCAAGTTGGATCTACGCGGAGCATACAATCTAATACGCATGAGGGAAGGTGACGAGTGGAAGACGGCCATGTTCACGCCGCTGGGCACCTATGAATACAGAGTTATGCCGTTTGGTCTCCAAAATGGCTCCCACTGTTTTCAAGCATTCATGCACCACGTGCTAGCAGGACTCCTCTACAAGAAGTGCGTATGCTTTCTCGACGATATTCTGATCTTCTCAGAATCGCAGGAGACTCACGAAAGAGACGTAAAGGAGGTCCTGCAGAGGCTACGGGAGCACAGACTCTACGCCAAGCTGGAGAAGTGCCAGTTCGACGTGACGGAGGTGGATTTCCTGGGCTACCGGCTGTCCGACAAGGGACTAGCCATGGACAGCGCCAAGGTCCGCGCGGTGTTGGACTGGAATAGCCCGCGCAATCGGAAGGAGGTCCAGAGGTTCGTCGGCTTCGCCAACTTTTACCGCAAGTTCATCAGGGGTTTCGCGAAAGAGACGGCAGCTATCACGGACACCCTCAGTTCCAAGAAGAAAAGTTCACCTGGACGGACCAGGCGGAGCAGTCCTTCAGGAGACTTAAGAGTCTCTTCGCGTCCGAAGACCAGTTGCTACACGTGAATCCCAGCAGGCCCATGCGGGTTGAGACTGACGCATCTGACAGAGCAGTGGGGGCCGTCCTCTTGCAGGAAGATCCGCAAGGGAACTGGAGGCCCTGCGCTTTCTATTCCCGGAAGCTCAGCAAGTCGGAACAGAACTACACCATCTGGGACAGGGAGTTGTTGGCCATCCACGCGGCTTTCAAGGCGTGGCGGCACTTCCTCATCGGAGCCAAGCACACCGTGCAGGTCCGCACGGACCACAAGAACCTAGAGTATTGGCGCACGGCGAAGCTCCAGAGCCAGAGGCACATGAGATGGGCGGAGTTCTTTGCGGATTTCGATTTCCGGATAGAGTATATCCCGGGAGACAACAACGTCATAGCGGATGCGCTCTCCAGGAAACCGCAGTATCTCGAGGAAGCGGCACCAGTGGCAGCCAGGCACATTTTCGCACCGCAAGCGTGGGCGTGCGCTTCCGCCGCCGTGGACCTGGACGCGGTACGACGCGCGCTACAGACGGATCCGTTCGCACAATCCAAGATGGAGGAGGTGCGAAGAGGGACAGCAAAGGACGGCGAATTCCAGATACGCGACGGCCTGCTGACCCGCAAAGGTGCTCTCTACGTCCCGGGAGACGATCTCCGCGCGAAGGTTTTACAGCAGTTACACGACGCCCCCAGCGCGGGTCACTTCGGCAAAGAAAAGACGGCGGACTTAGTAGCCAGAGACTTTTGGTGGCCCCAGATGCGGGGAGAGGTCGCGGATTACGTCGCCAGGTGTGACACTTGTCAGAGGTCCAAGCCAGTGCACAAGAAGCCAGCGGGATTGCTGGAACCGCTGGAGACGCCACTGCAGCCGTGGGAAAGGGTGGCGCTGGACTTTGTTACTGATCTGCCCAGTTCGCGGGGCAAGACGGCGGTGCTTGTGGTTGTAGATCTGTTCACCAAGATGGCGCACTTCATTCCTTGCGCGAAGGTGGCAACAGCGGAACAGACCGCCAAGCTGTTCATAGACCACGTGTTCCGGGTGCACGGCTTACCACGGTCCATCCTGTCCGACCGGGGTCGCCAATTCATTTCCAGTTTCTGGCAGAAGCTCCTGGGCATCCTGAATGTCAAGATCAACTTAGCGTCGGCGAGACACCCGCAAACCAACGGCCAAGCGGAGAGGGTCAACGCCATCATGCAGCAGTACCTGCGATGTTACGCCAATCAAAAGCCTGCAACTTGGGTGGACTACTTACCGATGGCCGAGTTTGCCTACAACAACACGAAGCACGCGTCAACGGGGGTGACACCGTTCTTCGCCAACAATGGGCGACATCCCAGAACCTTCCCGGCGTTGGAGACAACGACGCAGGGGAGTCGCAGGGAGCGGAGCATTTAGCAGCAGAATTGCAGGAGGTCCACGAGGAGCTACGACGGCACTTGGAACTAGCTAAACACGCCTACAAAGTGCAGGCAGACAGGCACAGGAGGGCAGGAGAAGACATCCAGGTGGGGGACTGGGTATGGTTAGCAGCCCAGGCGGTGCCGGCCAAGTCGTTAGCTAAGAAGAAGCTAGGACACAAACAGCTAGGGCCATACCAAGTTGAGGGCAGGATCAATCCCGTAGCTTTTCGGTTGACCCTCCCAGAGGATTCCCGAATGCACCCGGTCTTTCATAGGTCGGTGCTTACACCCTACAAGGCCCCACACAGATTTCAGGAGCCAGGGACGGCACCAGACCCACGTAGAAAGTCACCGGGGGGGGGGAAGTCACCGAGGACCCCGACACTCAACGAGGTCACGGAAATTCTGGACTCGAGATGGGGGGAGGAGGGAGTGGAATACCTCCTCGCCAGGGAAGGTACCCCGGCCAGCGCCAACAGTTGGGTGCCAGATTATGCTCTGGAGGAACCTTTTCTTAAGGACGAGTTCCATGCACTCTTCCCACACAGGCCCATGCCAGCGGAGTATTTTGACGACTGGCTTTTTACGCCCACACTTTCAGGCAGCACCTTCCGGGGGGTTCTCCTCCGCAGAGGAGACCACGCCGGAATCGAGCCCTCCAAGGGGATCGTGCTCGGGGGTGGACACGGACCGCTCTTATTGGTGGGACGATCAACCAGAAGTGGGGTGGCGAAGGGGGCCTTGGCAAGCAGCTTCGCCTGAAGTAACAGGGGGGAGGGAAGGGTTTGGATGTGTTGGGGGAGGACCCCGGTTTCGAGCACTCCTACACTGAACTGGAAGCAGAGAAGATCGACGTCGACGAACTGTATCCAGCATCTACCCCCGCTACAACGAAGCTCCCGGAACCTGCGCCCGAGCAGCGGGAGGGGGGAAGGGGGGGCTTCGAGGGGGGGATGGATGTCAGGGGTTCAGGGAGAGAGGCACAGGGTAGGCAGGAGATGGAGAGCGATGGGGAGGAATCCCAAGCCAGCGAGGAAGAGGATGACAATGACTCAAGAGATTCCATGAGTCTTTCCAGCGAATCAGAGGATTCCCAGAAGGGGGCGCCGGTGGTCAAGGCCAGGGGAGCCCCAGGGGGGACGTGTCAGGAGCAGGGGGCCAGCGGAGGATCCCAAAGTGGCAGCTGGGCGTCAGGACCAGCCTCCCCACCAGAGTGCAGCGAAGGGGGTGGAGTTTCCAGTGTGTCAGGGGAAGCGGCTCCGGCAGCAGAGAAGGGAGGGAGGTCAGAGCAAGCCGCCCTCCCGGAAGGGGAGGGAGCAGTGAAGGGAGTAGTGTAACTGTCAAAAGGAAAGTTAGAGGTTTGGCGCGCGCGCCAAGTTCAAATGTAGAGGCGCGCGGAAGTACAGGGAGCCCGGAGGAGGGGCCAGGTCCCAAAGCCCGCAGGGGGGGGAAGAGCAGTCTGATTCCGCGTCAGAGGAATCCAGGAGGGGCGAAACCCCAGCGGGCAGAAGGACCCTGCGGAAAAGGAAGGAGAGAAAGAGGTGGAGCAGCGCAAGCCTCTTAAATTGGTGCAGGGGAGGGACGGATTCAGAGGGGACTTCAGCGGTCTAAGCGTAGCAGACGTAAGGCTGCGCGCCTAGGATGTCAAGCAAACAATGAACTGCAATAAACACTTTTGTATATAAGAAGACATAGGCGTTGGTCTTTTGTGAGCTGAGACTTGAGGCAGCCTTGACAATGTCAAATAAAAAGGTGAGTTTATGTAGTCATCTGTGACATCTCTCATTGGGATGTAGTTGAGGAGGGGCAAATGGGTTTGCCATCTCACCTCCAAATATTGTTGGACTTCAGTTCCCATGAGCCTCGGTCAACATGGCCAATGCTCTAGGAATGATGGGATTTGGAGCCATAGGTTGAAGGGCTATGGGTTTGCTGTCCCTGCCTTAGAGATTTATTTATCTAACCCTTTTTCATTTGGTGACATGGGTTCCCCTGGCCATTGACTAGCTAATGTTCCCTCCCCATAAACGTCTCAGGCACAGCATAAATCCAGGGCATTCTGGGTGAAAAATGGGAGCCACCATCACAAGAATGTCCTGGAATGATGCTGACTCTGGCACATTAGGGGTGGGGTGGGGTGGGTGGCTTATCATAGCATACAGTGTCAAAAACAAATAAAAAGGTGAAAAAAACCTCCACCATTTCTGTTAGCAACATACAGCTCATCAACGTACGCACCCTCTGAAACATTTGCTTGTGACAACTGCAAAAATTACTTCCTCATCTTTGCTGTTACCATATGTAAGGATGTGCACGTAATTTCACCCAAGCCATAATCCTGACACCTTAAATAGACATGGAAAGAGACCAGGAGCAAAGGGCAGTTTTAAGATGCGCAAAATGTACTGTCTAAGCCCTGTTCCATTTAGTTAATCCAGCTGCCATGTTTTCTGTTGACGATAATCGCTGATGAAGCATGCAATGATATCACATCATGAGTCTTACAATGCTAAATGTTACAGGGAAAGAGGAGGAGGAGGACGAGACATGTGGATAGTTTTCTTTGATGACAGCTATGTGTCAGCCATAGCATCCACTACTGGCCTATCACGTTGCTCCTTGTCATCTCACAGTT